CAGCATTATCATAGTCCTTTCCAATCTCTGGTCGTCATTACCTTGTCAGTCTGCCAGATTACCCAAAGGCCTTTTCCCATATCCATGTTTTCAACTTCGTTCTGAAGAAAAGGAGGGATGTCGATGACCTAATTTCCCCAGGGAGTGAATTCCACAGGCGAGGGGCCACCACTGAGAAGGCCCTGTCCCTCGTCCCCACCAGTCTCACTTGTGATAAAGGTGGGGCCAAGAGCAGGGCCTCCCCAGAAGATCTTAAACTCCCAGGTGGGACGTAGAAGGAGATACGTTCGGATAGGTACGCTGGGCCGGAGCCGTATAGGGTTTTATAGGTCAAAACTAGCACTTTGAATTGTGCTCGGAATTAGAAATCCACAAGCATGTGGACAATTTCAACAGAAAGGAGGAAACCATGAAAATGAAAAAAATCTGGCTACCAGTATTAAAAAAACTCTAAAATTAGAACAGCACAACAACAGAGAGGAAACAAACAAGGACATCTAATTACCTCTCAATAAAAGATTGCTCCAGGCACTGCCAGGCAATCAAATGTTAATCAAGGTGATCAGTTGAAACATTCATACCTAGCTCCAGAAGTCAAGAGTCCTTTGTCCCACCCTGGTCATTCCACAGATATATAAACCCTTTTTCCTAATTCCAGCAGACCTCACTACCTCTGAGGATGCTTTCCATAGATGCAGGCGAAACGTCAGGAGAAAATGCCTTTAGACCATGGCCATATAGCCCGAAAAAACCTACAACAACCCAGTGATTTGGGCCATGAAAGCCTTCAACAATATGATAGCTATTTTCCTTTCCCCTTGTGGAGCTTCGTAGGCATTACAACACCACTTTTGGGGTTGAGGATGCAAATATTAACACATAATTCTTCACGCATCTAGCCATGAGTACTTATATTTCTATTTCATTAAATACTATTAAGCACTACCACATTCAGCTCAGCACTTAAAAGTAGGGTGTAGATTCAGACTAACCACCTGAGTTTTCCCCAATATACCATTTCTTTAAAGATATGTTAATTTCGCTTTATTAAATAATTTTCATTTGCATTGAATTTCTTATAGTTAAACCTATGTTCAAAGTGAATGATGGCTAGAATGAAATTTAAGATAGGTGATTCTCAGGGTAGAATACCATTTTCTTTTACAACACACATTTCCAATTACTAACCAAGAGTAATAAATCATCCCCTCCACCCTGGGAAATTTATAGAAAATAGCATTTGGGGGGTTTTCTTGTGTGAAGAATCCGGAGGGAGTGCTCAGTTCTTGATACTCTTTTTCAGGATCCTTTTCCCACAGCTGGGCATTCTGAGAGCCAAATGAGGCATGGTGGGAATTGCAGAAAATGTTTGGTGGAAAGGCTGGTGTGTGGGAAAGGATTAAGCAACACTTTTGTTTGGCTCATTATACGAGGGGTATTTTTTAAGTAAGGTCCGTTGGAACATAAGTGCACAACGAAAGTTTATTTCAAAAAAGTA